GCATTTAATGTCTAAATTTTGCCTTGTATGAAATAACCTTTCTATACCTTATTTCTGTTTGACCCATGGTCTTCAAATAAACTTCATATCTAGTTGTATAAGAGCACACAAAGTTTCACTGCAAAGTTTTTATAAACCAGGTCTCAATGAACCCTGTTTGTCATTCCTCCTGCATCAATACTGTCCTTGGCAAATGGCCTCAGTCAGTGAGGCAGAGAAGTGCACTTTTAGTATTCAGCTAATGTACAGTTGGGACCCCTAATGACTCATGCTATTATAAAATTGACTGAGATCACCTAAAAGAAAGAAACAAGATCATTAGAAAAACTTCAGTATTCTCCAATTCTTGTAATGCTTGTGCTCTGAAGACAGAATTCCCTATTAGGTACTCTGAAATGTCTAATGAAGGCTGTTGTAGCAATTTGGATGATATTTGCAATAGAGGAGTCTCTAGCTATTCTGATTGTTCCACCTGTTTGAAAAAGAGATGAAGGGCAAGAAAAGATCAGAATGAAATTAACAGGTAAGTAAAAATTAGAGATGAAGATGCTACATTTGGCTCTGTCAGAATTATAGAGTATTTCTTGGTCAGGGTTAATAGCAAATATCTCAGTTCTCTACTCAGAAACTGCTGATGATGGATGATGGATTAAGTTTACTGGTATATTTTAATAGATTGGAACAGCAAGGATTCCTGGTAATATTTATCTCAAAGACCAGCATTTTCTTATTTCTGATTAATCTAAAGCCAACTTGACATGTAGTCATAGTTTTAATGAAATTTGAGGTTTGATATTCAGAAAGAGGAATCAGAGAAAAAAGGAAACACAGACCATATTTTTTAAAAGGAAATGGTGTATATTGGTGGCATTTATTTACACATGAAGAATTTCCCTACTTTACACATAACTCCTGGTTTTCTAGATATTTATTTTTGTTGTTTTTTTCCAACAAAATCATATGCAGTAGTGAATGCTCTTTATCCAAACCCTGCAGCAATGATTGAATGTGTGCACTAAACATGTCTTATGGAGAAAATACCCATGCAATTCCAATATATGATGGCTAGCAAACATACAAAAAGGTTCAGGTTGCTCAAATAAATAAAGCCATCTACTGAACACCATCAACAGCAACTTCTCTCAGGAAAGAAGTTATGATTAGTTGAAAAGTTAGACTGGTGTGGCCAGCTAGAGTATTACAAAACATAATTTAAAATCCAAATTAATGTGGTAGCAGACTTAATTATTTCTATAAACAAGTAACAGAATTGTAATGAGGGTTCAGCTGTTGACCTACGCTGTAATTGATCCTTGGGTTGGGAACAGTTTCTGCTTCCAGCTCTGCATTGGTATCTTGTACCAAACTTTTATTCAGTTGTTACTCAGAGAAAGTTACTCAATCCAAATAAGCATAAAAGCACATTATGTAACATACCTGACAGTTCAAAGACAAAGAATGAAGAACATATAAAGGCGTGGAAGAAATTCCACCCATCTAAGGCACTGAAGGAAAGAAAGAGCATGGATGCCTGTAAAGTATTTGAATAGGATTTCCTTCTACAAATAAAGACCTTCCCTTATAAAAACACTTCTGAAAATGCAGCATGAAGAAACGAATTTTTGAAAAATCAGATATAATGGAAGTATACAATAGATGACATAGATTTGCTGCATAACAAATAAATAAATCCTTGTTTTCTTTTATGTTTTGAATATTTTCATGTTTTCCTGGTCAGCATATTTAATTGCTTTATTTTTATACAATTCAAAGTATATATTCCAAAATACTTTGTTTTACTTTAATACCAAATTAAAGTGCTACAGTGTTTCCCAAATTTAATCTTCTTGTCTGATACAATATATAAAATTTAATTTACCTCTATAACTAATGCCTGGTAGGAAATTTGTTCATTGAGTTATACCTTTCAACATTTTTCTTGCAAGTAATAGAATATATAAAAATAAATCTCCTTTCACTCAAGCATTTTATGGTATGCTGTCAGCAAATGTCCAAAGAAACACAAACCTAAAGCATTAAAAGTGAAACCATTAACTTGCAGATAAATCATAGGAACTTCTCATTTAAAAAATGATTTGTAAAGGTCTAATGAACTGCTGGGGATAAGAACTGAAAATTACCAAATATTAGAGTCTTCCTCATCTCGAAAATAAATACAATCTTATTTCAGTTGGACACAAAAATAAATTTCACTAGTTCCATTTATACTTTTAAATCACAGAAAGGGTAACTGTAACAATGCATGAACAAACACCTTCTTTCACCTTCATCACTCAGGTAAAAATGTGAATATATTTCCCTCACTTAAATAAAATCCATGCCTGAACTGAGATTCAAATTAGAAATTTATTCCTGAACACATAAATATGACAGTACTGTATTTAATTTCTGATGACTATAACTGTCATGCTTGAGTTGCCTTTTCATTCTCTAAAATAGGCTTCTTTATGTATCACACCACATTACTGAATACTGTTAATCTTCAATATAGTTAATACATTAGGCAAAAAAAAAGAAATTAATTTCTTGTGGGTTTTACTGCAAGAAAGTATATTTGAGACAGCCATTTTAGTCTGACTTTGCCAGTCATAGAAAAGAAAAATCACAAACAAACCAAGCCACCACAAAACAAACCAGAAATTTTGTGGAAATCTGAACCATGTTTCCTGACAAAGGAGCTAACTTATAAAATAAGTGAAGCCTTCCTTCCATAAACACCGAAGGAGATAATTTAAATTCTGTTGTTTTGTGGGCTTTTTGTCATTATTGGTTTGGGGGCTCTTTTTCTGGATTTGTCCACATGTTGTCAGCTCCCTCTGCCCCCACAGTGAGTAAGAGACTGTACAATGGACTTTGAAAGGAAACTACAAGCTACCTTTTGTTAATGTCATTCTGTATCAGACAACAACAGCCTCAGTATCAGTTCTTCAGCATTAGAATAACTTTGAACTGAAATGTTATTTGAGAATTACGTAGCTACCATGTACTATTAACACTTCTTCCCCAAAAAAAAATCCTTTTTTTTTTTTTTCTTAAGTAAATACTGCCAGTATCTTTTCTATCACTTCCTCTATACTTCCTCTGCCATCCAAAAGGTTGTTCATTTTGGCATTTCTGTGGAATTTCTGTTTTACAGAGCAAAGGAAAAGCTCATGCCACAAGTGGAAAGGTTTACTGAGAGTAGAGAGGATGGCTTCATTTTTCCTCTAATGTCAAACTGAGTATTTCAGGTAATGTAAGAAATCTATAGATTTTCCCTAACTTTAGATCTTATTCTGAAGCCCTGTTTTCAGACCTTAAGGAAAAGAATAGGAAATTTAACAGAAATGGAGTGGAGGGAAGATTTCTCAAAGCAGTTCACTTGCAGAGATTTAGTCCTCACTTTTTAAGAAGTATTACTGAAAAACAACAACAAAAAAAATGAAACCAAAATAATAGAATGTCAGGTGGTTTTTAAATTTCTGCTTTTATTGTCAGTCAGGCAAAGAAATTCTCAGCACATATCTAACACAGACTATTGAAACGGCGTAAAAAAACCAAGTCACTGAGTTATGATCACTCAGCTACAATATCCAGACAAATCTTTCTTCTACCATACTCAGAATTACTATGCAGTAGTGTTGGCATGTTCATCTGACACCACACCTTTTCAAAATCCTCAGGAGGTTACTCAATCTCATCACATAGGGGCAGGAACTACAGTGATACTACTGAAATACTATTGCTACATGGCTGAAGATTCTGCAGCACCAGCAAACTTACCTTACCACAAAACCCCACTAACACTTGCTACTAAAATTAATGGACTACTAGAGGAAAATAATGGAGGGATGGGAGGTGTTGTCAGTAACTTCTGACTCCTCATAAAATTCTTATGAGCAAATACAAAATTCAGGGATAGTTTCATTATGACAATGTGTAATTTCAACACCTAAAACACCTGGAGAAGGTTAACACTGGAACAGTACCGTCATCTGAGAAGACACAGTGCATCCTATTCACCTTCCTAACCTTTCAGCTGGAAGGGCTGGGTGTTGGAAAGAAAGGACAACATCATATTTCCTTTTCTAAGTTCAGGTCTAGTGACAGACTTTTCCTAGCTATACTCAATCAAAAAGGCACAGCCGTGGAATTAGAGTTTTTCCTAGTGACCTAAGTGCTTACAAGGTATGTGAGAAAATTTTTGAAATATGCTATATGAAAAACAGTCAGTTGTGACAGCCAATATATTGTATTAATTATTCATCGAGCTTTGCAGAGTTTCTAACCTAACCTCTGGATCCCTGACACTAGGTCAAGAGTAGTAAAGAGTAGTAAAACTAAAATTATTATTAAAAAAAGAGAAAAGGATAAAAAAAAAGACGCAGGTAAATTCTTCAGCTGATTTGTAGTGATTCAGTTGCTTTGAGACCTCCACAGTTTTCAGTACTACACAACTAGAGAAGCAGAGTGCACGCAGAACTGACCTGAGCCACAGCAACGCTGGGGCTCAGGGGCCCAGTGTCTGCCAGGTGAGACATGAAGGCACGTCTGCTGTCACCTCTGCAGCATCCCAAGGACAGCACATGTCATGCAGGGAGAGAGAGATTTGCTACTAGTGCTGTAGCCCAGGGAGATCTAAGAAATGTGCATTGCAAAAAATCAAGAGAAGAGAGAGTGAAGGCACATCATTTATAAAAGAGCTTGACTGAGCAAGTAAGTCTGATTTACCTGCACCGTGCCGCTATTGTCACGACGGCTCCGCGGGGAGCACATTCATTTGTCATTTCCACCGTACCATATCTCAAGACATACAAGTATTACATGGAATGCATCTCTCAGCAGTTGGCTCGCAGCCTGCTTTCTGGCACAACTCAAATCCATAGATAAATGCTCAGGAGCAGCACGCTGCTCTTCATCACCCTATTTCTAACCTCTTGTAAAGCATCTGCACGCAGGCTTTATTTCACCGGCTTTAGGTTTTCCCAGGTTACTCTCCATTACAGATATTTGCGTCTGAAATAGGTGAGAGTGCTCCTTGTGGGACTCCAGGGCCTGCGGGACCCTGCCAGAGCCAGGGTACTGCCCGAGGGGCACGACCCGGAGCGAGTCAGCGTGGCATAGGCAGGGGGAGAGATGGAGCGGGGTAGGGTGCCGTAGCCAGAGCGGGACAAGGTGTAGGAGGAGCGGTTCAAGGAGCTGTACGGAGGGCGTGTAAGTGTGCCGTAGGTGGCACGGGTCGAGGAGTAGCCCGAGCGCCCCTCGGGGCTCCACAGCGATCGGGAGGTGGGAGCCCAGGCGGAGCCCAGGCGAGTGGTGGTGTCATAGGAAGGGCTCCACTGAGAGCCGCACAGCGAGCGAGAGCCGGCGGCGCCCACGGGCTGGGAGATGGAGCGAGAGGTGGGGGCACAGAGGGAGCGGGCCGTGGCTCCTGCCAGGGGGCG